AAACAATCACGACTTTACGTTTCACAATTAATGTAAAATTAATTTGATATTTAAAATTTATCGATCATATATTTATTATGGCCGCACTTCAATTTTTGATATTTAAAATTTATCGACCATATATTTATCATAGCCACACTTCAACATTTTCAACGAATTTTAAATCGCTTAAAACGAATATTTATAACTTAAAATACTGAATAAAAAAAAAAAGCCGAGCCTAGCCGAGCCGAGCCGAGCGGTAAGCCATTTGGCTCGGCTCGGCTCACGGCATGTGAACAGTAACCATAACTCACTCTTTTATATTTAGTTAGATTAGATGTTATTTGTATCATCGTCTTGACAAGAATGGTTGACAATATTGTTCTCAAAATTCGGGTAATTAATTTAAAAATAATTTTTAAAATTGATGAATGTAATGTTGTCAAGTGCTAATTGTCAATCAATATTGTCAAACTAGATTTTACATGTAGCATGTTCAATTTTTATAGAGTATCAAATTTTAAATGGTAATAAAAAATTTCAAATAAAAACCATGTTAGAAAACCTTTATTTGAAAACTATTTTTTTATACATACTATTTTTACTATATATTCACACAATAAAATATTTTGCATGTAAATTCAAAATTTTTTCTACTTTTTAATTGTACACTCCTAAAAATCACTATTCAAAACTTTATTTTTCCTGTATAATGGTTGTCAAACTGTGGCTAAAATTTTCAAACCAAATACTTTTATTTTTTTTTTTTTTTGCGATTAGATGCCCTTGAGCCCCATTTTATTAAAAATTCATTTTTTTAAAAAAAAATCATTTTTAATTGTACATTGTCCAATAAAATAATTTTACACGTAAATCAAAAAAATTCTTATTTTTTAACTACACGTTGTTAAAAAAAAATATTATTCCAAAATACATTTTTTCCTCGAAGTGGGGCTCAAACGAGGCTTTTCAAAATACGAATCTAGCGAAATCAAAATAACATTTTTCAAACATGTAAAAAAATAAATATATTAATCTAAAATTTTACTATAACACTTATATCGAAACCTTCTAAACATAAATGTTATGTTATAAATATTTTTGTGTCCATATAAGTTTAAACAAATAATTACCATAAGTTCAACCATAAAATTTAAACTTGTAATTTCATTCTTGGGAAAATTAGGCCCACTACCCTCCAAATATCACAAATTAGAATAATACCCCTAAATCTAATTAAAATACTTACACCTCCGTAATTAATACGCTAAAAATCCCCAAATCCCAAAATATTAGAAAGCGGCGGAGAAGTTGAAAAAGTATTCCAGAAATTTAATACCAATAAAGATCACAGAATCTCATTATCAGAACTCGGTGAAATTTTGATTAAGCGGATAATGTCAGAGTTAGACATCGACGAGAGAGAAGAAGAAAGCATGAGCACTTTTAATTATTTATAGAGTTACATTTTCATTAATACATGTTTTTTCTTGAGTTTTTTTTTTTTTTTCTGAAATTTTTATACTTATATTTATGTGTGTTGTATATGTCTAGAGTTGATCCATTTGCAAAGAAGGATTGGTATGATATCAAAGCGTCGTCAATTTTTTACTCGTACTTGGGGTAATTTTTCTCTCTTTAAATTATATTCATTATGTTGGAGAAATGCTGGAGAAATGATACGACTCTTGTTAATGCAAATTGATTGATGAATTGGTTTAGCCATTGAAACCTATTTACATCAGGAAAGTTGTAATTTTTCCCTTCAATAAGGGATCTAGTTGTCTGCTGTCCAGAGGGTCTAATGAGTTCTTTTTTTTTTAGGTTTCATCTGTTGCATTTTCTATCAAAAGATACTAACGCACTGTTTCATTTTGATATTGTCCCCACTCCTACTATTTTTTCGTTCCTCCTGAATAATTGAGGATTCTGAAACTATCGATTTGGCATCAAGATGTTAGCTTTATTGCTTAGCTAAGATTCTTCTAGTTTCGATTTATCGAACTTTGAATTCATTGCTCAAAAGATGTGAGTCAATGCTTCTGAGATACATTTGTGCATGAATTGCAATTCCTAATGTCATCAGCTTTTGCTTAAAGAACTTGAGATTTTTGAAACTTGAACAAATGAATATCATGATGGAGCAACTACTGTGAAAAAAAATTAAGGAAATGACTTACCGCATCTCTTTTATGCTCATTATTTTATACAATCATCTCTTCAAATTGATCAGAAGTTCTTAACTATCTAAACAACTAAGATAAATCCATCTATAGAACTAAGATAAATATTTGAAAGCTTATACTATTGAAGCTCATTTTTGTCATACAATTGTTGTAACATCTTCGTTTTAGAAACAATCTTTGGTGCAAGTACTCTACTATTCATAAGCACTTAAAATTGATAGCCAACATTGTTTTCTCTATCAGATTGTTTCAGAAGGGCTTAACCGTCGTATGTTTGAAGCGTCTTTGGCTGACCTTCAAGGTGATGAGTACCATGCTTTTAAGAAGATCAGATTGAGAGTTGAGGATGTTCAAGGAAACAACATTCTCACCAACTTCTGGGTATGATAATAGTGGAAGCATTTGGTTGTTCCTACTTGGGTTATATATCACATATGCATATGTTTCCCACTGGACGCTTAGGAAGCACAATAAACAATTGGTGTACTAAGTGAGTCGTTGAATGAGATATTATGTTATTAGACTCTCAGGGTGTTATGGCCTTTGAGTTTTGTGAATATAACTTGTTATACCTCAATAATGTCATTGTACACATTGTAATATCTCATATAAACTTGGGCAGCTTCTTTTTCTTTGCTTTTGGTGTAGGACAACTAGTTTTGGAGTTTGAAGAAGTGTTGAACAGGAAATTGACGAAGAAAGATCGCGCTAGGGGCAATTTGGTCAATTGGCGCGACGGTGTCGGAATGGGCTGAAATTTGGCAGATTGATTGAAAACGGCCTGAAAAATTGGACTTCGGACAAAGACCCAAGATCTCGGGATTTTAGCCAAATTCCTTCATTTAGGCCTTCAAATAATTAATTTCCATATTTCCAGTTTTAGATTTTCGCTATTTTTGGAATGTTTTAATATTCTATATTTTTAGGGTTTCTTGTAACGCCTATTTAAAGGTTTTTGAACGTTTTTCGGATCATCATTGATTATTATAAAATTTCGTTTCTTTGGTACATTCCAAATTTGGTTCTTCAAACTTACGTTCGTAAATCTCTTATTCCGTTCTGCGTCAAGTGGTATCAGAGCAAGGATTTGCCTTGTTTTTCAATGGCCAACAACAACGAAGGAGGAAGAGTTAATCCTCGCGACGCTGGTCGCAGGGATACAGATGCAGATTTGTGGGCAGCAATTGACGAACAAAGGCAAGCGATGGGGAGA